TCCCTCCTCGCACCTCCCAATCAGCTGTTTCATGGCATGCAGGAGGCTTGGAGGCGGAGGGGTACGGGGTGGGAAGGGGTGGAGTGGGGGCAGAGCCAGGGGTTGAGCAGTGAGCACCCCCCGGCACATTGGTAAGTTGGTGCCTGTAGCTCCAGCTCCGGAGTCGGAGCCTGTAGAAGGAGCCGCATATTAACTTCTGAAGAGCCTCATGTGGCTCCGGAGCCACAAGTTGGCCACCCCTGACATAATTGATGCATGTGCAAAAGAACTGGATGGCTTAGAGTATTGCTGTCAGACTTGGAAGGATTAGATTTTTGGATGGTAAATGTTGATTTCACTGATGAAACTGATGAAAAAATATTTCCATTAGTGATGATCAAAATTTACAGATAGGCAAAGAAAGAAAAATCATGCTTGAGAACTTGTTGGAGATTGTTATATCACATGTCAAAATATACAAAGATATATCCTTAAATCAATTTCTGTTTTATAGGTTGTAAACTTTTAACTTTTTGATATCATTAAATTGCCTGCGGGGGTCCTTTCCCCACTGTCTGACCCTCCCTATACTTTCTTGCAACTGTGAAATTAAAATCCATAAAAATAGAAAAAATGCCTAAACAAACATGGATATTACCTGTTGAAGGTGTTTGTTTTTTTAAAATCGAGTTCTGCCAAGCCTACTAATGGACTATTTTACTGAGTGTTCTCACTTACTGGTGTGAATTCAGACCAGGATGGTAATTGTATGTTGAAAGGTGTTAATAGCGTTAAGACCTGGTAAAAGTCAATGGATATGCTAAGCACCCTTCATTCAGGCTAAACAATGGAGCAATTAAATAGCCCTTTGTTTAATGATGGCTGAAACAATAGAAGCAACTGCCAAAGACACAGACATCAGGGGAATGCCAAAGTAGAAGCTAAGCCATGTGACACAAGTGGTTTCCTGGCAAGAGATTGCAAATGCAGGGGCTGGGGGTATTGATGAAGTGTCCTTGTAGAAAGAAGCAGAGTGAGTGTGGCCTTAGAAAGAAGTCATAGGAGATCTTTTGGGAAGAATACTCACTGAAAAGGCAAACTTGGATTTCTGCACTATGAGATTGCCTCCTGGTTGTTTTCTGCTATGCTTAAGGAAACAGAACTTTGGTGCAATCCTATTTATTTACAAAGATTCTACACAAACAGACACCTGATTCCGCTCATTATTTCTCCTCTGAATGGAAACAACCTAGCAAGGCCCCAAATATTAGCTAACTGCTTGGGCTAGCGGGCAACAGTTGTGACTATGAAGTAGACAACAAAATGACCTATGCAAGGCTCCCATGTTTGTCCCTGGATATAATAGCAACATATTGAAAATTACAAGAAAAAATAAGTTAAATCTAAATAAGCATGCAAAGTTTCCATAGTTTGTTTTAAGATATACATGCAGGCAAATCAGCCTTAATTTACTGTGTTTTGTTTCTTCATTTTAAAAAGTGATATCTAAAGAACAAGAATTCTCAATAAATAGAACAGTTACTTTAAATATTTTTGTGATGTTAGAATGATATATATATATATCATATATAATATATAAATGCAAACGACCAATCCTCCTGGTCACACAGGGGTCTCATGGAGAAACAGTCAGACCTCCCTGGACCTCTGATTCTGAAGCGATCATGCTGCTGCAATACGTGGTGCAGGGTAGCTTTCGACTAGGGCCCCTCTTCTGTAAAGTATTTAAGTATGTACATAATTTTAAGCATGTGAGTAGTCTCATTAAAGTCAGTGGGATTACTCATGCTTCAAGTTACGCATATGTAGGTACCTTGCTGAACCATGGCCATCCCTTCTACCATGCTTCCATTGATCCTGCCCCTCTTTCTCTCTCCGTTGCACAAATCTGAGGCTGTAGTAGCTCCTGTGGAGATACATGCACAAGAGAGAATGAAAAGCACAGTGCCTGGGATAGAGTGAGGGCTCAATCAGGACCCCCAATATCCAATGCTTTGGGTGGGGGCCTCTGCTGTCCAATTGCCCTGGGTATTGTTGGCTGCAATGGGATCCCATCCAGAACTGTGGCTGGCCTCCTTTGTGGGGAGGGAGTGCCTCTCATCCCTTCAAGATGTCCTTGGTGGTGGTTCAGCCCCATCCCCAGGCATCTCAGACTATAATGGATATTGCAGTGAGGGGTGGAGTCTCAGGCTTTGCTTTCAGTGGGAAGGAAAGGAGCTCCAAGGCTTTTGAACAGCACCCCAGTTGCTAGCAAGGGCCCCTACCCTCAGGATGTGCATGCTGCTCTTTAGGTGCAGAAGCTTAACATAATATCTGAACATACTTTTTTCAAGTCTCTCTTTTGTTGCAGGTGAGATCATTTCAGCTCTAAGTGATACAGGACTTCTTAAAAGAACCATTGTTATATTCACAGCAGATCATGGAGAACTTGCTATGGAACATCAGCAGTTTTATAAAATGAGCATGTATGAAGCAAGTTCCCATGTTCCTCTTCTAGTTATGGGGCCAAGCATTAAAGCTCATCATCACCTATCAAATGTGGTATCTCTTGTAGATATTTATCCAACTATGCTTGGTAAGTAACTTGATTCTATTTGAAATAACTGAAACTTTGAGATTTGGGTATGAATTGGTGGTGGCAGTAGTAATAGCATTATGTTTAGGGTTCCGTTGTGATAGGTGATGTACTAACATAGTAAAAAACAATGCCTGCTCTAAAGAGCTTACAATCAGATTTAACACAAAATCAACAAGTGGTGTAGGGATTAAATAGAGGGATTGGAAGAAGTGGGACAAGGGTAACAGTGATAGGAATATGTGGTCACAAAGACTAGTGATGTACGCAATCAGTTTGTTTCAGATATTTACATTTTTTCCTCTTTTTTTAGTCTTAAGATGTAAAGACACAAGAAATGTTATGGATCTCAGTAATCCCTACTACTTATTTACTTGACCATTGACTGTAAGCATCACAGTACAAGTGAGTCCTGAGGAGGGATTTCAAGGTAGTGGCTTTACTTAATAGTTTGAGGACGATGTTCCATTTATAAAGGGCAGCATGGCAGAAATGTAAAGGAACTTGTGAAAGAAGTGGACAAATAGGAAGATTGAGGTGGGCATCAAGAGCCGAGAGGAAGGCCAAGGGGTGATGTAGTAAAACCACAAGAGTGGCTACGTTGCAGGCATAGAATTATGAAGCTTCTTGAAGATGAGGACAAGAACAGAATTATCAGACACATAGATGAATATGATTTGTTGGGGAAGAGTCAACGCCTCTTTTTTGTAAAGGGAAATCATTCCTCAATCATTTATTAAAATTCTTTGAGGGTGTCAACAATCATGGGGATAAGGGTGATCCAGTCGATATAGTGTACTTGGATTTTCAGAAAGCCTTTGATAAGGTCTTTCACCAAAGGAAACTAAGTAATCATGGGATAAGAGAGAAGGTCCTCTCGGATCAGTAATTGGTTAAAAGATAGGAAACACAGGATAGGGATAAATAGTTTTCACAATGGAGTGAGGTAATTAGCGGGGTTCCTCAAGGATCTGTAGTGGGACGAATGCTATTCAACATGTTCATCTGGAAAACAGAGTGAACAGTAAAGTAGGAAAGTTTGCAGATACAAAATACTCAAGATAGTTAAGTCCAAAGCTGACTGCCCAGAGTTACAGGGGGATCTCACAAAACTGGACAACTAGGCAACAAAGGGCAGATGAATCATAGAAGTGTAGGATTGGAAGGGACCTCAATAGATCATCTAGTCCAGTCCCCTGCACTCAAGGCAGGACTAAGTATTATCTAGACCATCCCTGACAGGTGGCTGTCTAACCTGTTCTTAAAAGCTTCTCATGACAAAGATTCCCCAACCTTCTCTGGCACTTTATTCAAATTCAGTGTTAAGTGCAAAGTAATGCACTCTGTAGTTGGGATGATTTTTTTTTCCTCATATATAATCATGGGTTCTAAAGTAGCTGTTACCACTCAAGAATGATCTTGGAGTCATTGTAGATAGTTCTCTGAAAACCTCAGCTTAATGTGCAGCAGTGGTCAAAAAGGCTAACAATGTTAGGAACCATTAGGAAAGGGATAGAAAATATCATAATGCCACTATATAAAATCCATGGTGCACCCACACTATGAATATTATGTACAGTTCTGGTTGCCCCATTTCAAAAAGGTTGTAGCGGAACCTGGAAAAGGTTCAGCGAAGGGCAACAAAGATGATCATGGGTATGTTATGGCTTCCATAGGAGGACAGACTAACAAGATTCAGGGTGTTCAGTTTAGAAAGGAGACTATTAGCAGGGGATATGATAGAGGTCTATAAAATCATGAATGGTGTGGAAGGAGTGAATAGGAAAGTGTTATTTACTCTTTCCTACAATATAAAAACTGCACATTGTTCCCCAAATCCTCCTACCATCCAGAGTCAAAACCTTAAACATGTATAGGTGCACACTGAATCCATAGCTATGTGCTTGCCTGGGGATGTGGGGCAAAGCACATGTTGGGCTGTGAGCTACACCTCTACTCACCCATTTTGTAGTGTGGATATAGCAAAAGCAAAAGTACCTGGGAATGTGTTTAGATATGCCGTCAATGCCATTCCCACAATTCCTGGTACCTGCATGCTCTGGCCCTTCTCCTACCCACCTTGTCACCCACTATGTACCAGATGCTACTGCTGGTTTATACACAGTTGCTCGGCATTTAACCCTTCATTTCCATGCAACCTGCTAATTTCTGCACAGCTCAACTGTGCCTAATAGGAAGAGGCACATCATCAGCATTGTGCTGTTTGTTGGCTGCAGGAGCACTCCAGGGTTCTGGTTAACCTCTAGTGTGAGTACAGCAAGCATTATGAGTTTGGGAGGAATATCCAGAACATCCACATATGAGAGCATCATGAAGAAGCTGGCAGAGATGGGCTTATCCGGACTGGTGTGCAGCACAGGGAGCGCATCAAGCACTTAAAGCTGAGGATGGCAACAGCAGGTCCGGCAACTCCCTATCTATATGCCCTTTCTACAAGGAGTTTGGACCGGGTGCTTGCCACTGCCCTGAGCACAGAGCCCACTGTCGTTCTTGACATACTTCCAAATGCAGACCATCTTATGTTCAGACCAGAGCAAGGGTGTAAAAGAACTCTGGGGATGGCACTGGCCAACATCACAATGAACTCCCATAAACAGACTGTGGAGCAGGAAGCCTAGGATCAGTCCACGTGGCCGGATGGGCTAGTGGGTGTCCTGGGTGAATTTTCAGAGGATCTGTTCTGAGATGGGCCCAGGGAACAGTCCGGAGAGGAAGCAATGCGGGACCAGGAATCGGATCCATAGTCTGGTAAGTGCAACCAATCATCTTTATTATTACCATGTGGGAACTTTTAGCATAAGAGTGGGATTTCTGGATTATGAACAATAAAATCATTGTTATGGAGGATATTACATAGGATGGGTTTAGCTTTGAGTGAGGGTAAAAGCCACCCCTCTTTCTCCACATCATGTGTGATCTAAAGTGATTCTAAGTATTGCCCAGGGCGGGAGGGTGATTTAAACATACATCTAGTGATTCTTAACTATTTTTTAAAAAGAATAATAGCAAATTATGAACAGTAACAGGCTTAGCCAGCATGATTACATATCTTTGCATTTACCACTGTCTGCAACTCAATCACCCCAGTAGCATTAAAGCATTCTCCCAGACAATATGGATTATAAATCCCACTGGCTGCATTAAGTAGTAAAGTCCCTTGTGGACTTCAGTGCTTGGCCGTCTGGTTCTGTCCATTCACAGCACACTGTCTGGGCTGGGGTTGGGAGTGAAAATCAGTTCTGCTCTTCGGAACTCTCTGCATCCTACTTCAGCATCCTGTTAATATTCGCCTGAATTTTCTCCCACTCCTGGAAGATGCTTGATAATTTTTCATACAGGAGAAATTCAAGCAGGTTTGTAAAATTCCTGGGTAGGGCAAACTTCCAGTGGCTGCCTACATAACTAACCAATCCTCTCCATGCTTTGATATGTTGTTCAATCACCAGGCAACCACAAAAATATCCCTTGCTTAGATAGATGGGTTTCTGCATGCAGCCTGCAACATTGTTTGTCCTTCCAAATAATAATATCATCCAAGGCTTCCCTGGCCTGAAATAATATTGAAACGAATACTGGTAACAGAGTCCTAGCCCCCACAACCACCTCCTGACATTCTTTGTAAAATAACAGTTACATCTGAAATTCTTACCATGGTTTGTCTTTTGTCTGGGAATGTTGCTAGAAGAAGCTTCTGAATACATCAGTATATGAAGATGCTGAAATAAAAGCATACCAGGTTGATAAAAGTTTTAAACCTTGGCCTCATTTTGATGCAAAACATAAAGTGGGAAGGATTCTTTCCTTCTCCCAGCCCTCCGCCTCCCTTGAAAAAAGTAATAAGCTCTTTCATTTTCTTGACAGGCATTTCCACATCAGCTGCACCAACATTACTACACTGGACTCTTAGGGATAGAACCCTCAACCACCATGGGAGGAGAAAAAGGTCAGATGAGATGTCCTGTGACCTGGGGTACAAGAGAGAAAAATACCAAAAAGCAGAGGAGTGGGAAGAAAGAATGCTCGCCCAATTCCTCAGACATAACCAGAGGAATAGGGCTCAAGCCCAGCTTCTGTTAGACAGACAGTTCACCATGATGGCCAACAGGGTGCAGCTGCCAGTATCAGCTCCACAGCCACCTTCATTGCCAGCTCTGCTGTTGGCTCCTGTACCATCACCAGTGCTTGCAGACTCTCTCTGTGGTACCACATCATGCAGCCAGTGCAGCAACTGGCAAACTCAGACTGACCAACCAGTGAACAGCTCTATGAATTGGAATGAGCAGATGTACCCTGTGAACTCCATCCCTGTACAGTGCAGTCGCCATGTTTGGCCAGGGAGGAGAACAGGAGGCACATTTGACATCCAGTTCCACTACCAGCAAGACTGACTGTGAAGCTTGGACTTCAGTTAATTGTACTGTTTCACAAACCGTTAGCACTTTATTTAACTTTGCACATTTGTCAATAATTGTTTATGGCCAGTGGGCTGGTATGCTTGCAATGGCTTTACTATTACTTTGTTTTGTTTTCTTTGGGTTTTGTTAATAAATGGTTTGGTCGCACAATTCATTGGTGTGTGAGTGCATGGAAAAGGAGGAAGAGTCAGGAAGTTGTCTCCAAAGCTTTTGATAAAGTATCAGTCTCATCACAAAAAGCCAATATTAAATATACAATAGCAAACCAGGTTATACATCAGTACACAGCCTTTCTGCATCACAAGTCCATATCCACAACACCCTGAGATGCTAGGATGTGGCATGTAAGGGATCCCCATTTTCTTTGAGTGATTGCTCATGTGTATACAACAATAGGTGTGCGTGCTCGCCACATGCACCGGTGCCAGAAGTTTTTCCCCTAGCAGTACCCGTAGGGGAGCGCCCCTAGCGACCCCTGGAGTGGCGCCTCTATGGCACAGTATAAGGGGCACTGTGCACTCCCCCCATCCTCAGTTCCTTCTTGCTGCCAGTCAAGGTTCATCG